GAGGCCCTGCTGTCTGAAGGCCTGCCTGCCGATGCGAATTAACCGTGTTTTATGTGAGTCTCTAAGGTCTGCCTTGGAAATTGACGTCCCTCACGTCTGTTGGTTAGGCGCCAGGCCCAAGGTCAGCGTGCGGTACAAGAGCGGGTGTTCGCTGGCGCTTTTGCAGTAGCGTCCGAAGGGCGGGGAAGGCCAGGGCGGTTTGACCAATGGAAACAAGTCACAAAATGGAGCTGCTCCCATTTACATGCTTTTCTGGGCCTGGATGCTCTCATGCTTGGAATTAGAGAGGAAGTGGCGTCTGGGGGAGCCATCCTGCTGGCAGCCTTGCCCCCCAACCCTTCCTTGCTTGGGGAGGGAAAGTGAGAATTTGGGGAAGGGAAAACCCCTCAGGCGGTAAGATGTACCCTGACCCCTCCCCAGCCCAGTGGGAGTTACCGGCGTGAAACCCCAATGGGAGATTCCCTTCCTGTTAATCCCTGTGTCTCGGTTTTCTAGAATAGGTGTTCTTGTCCTGTTTTTAGAAGAATTTCATTCACATGTAGCTTCACAGCTTCATGTTCATTTGGGACCGCATTCCTTTCCCCTTCAGAGAGGTTGGACTAGGTCTCCTTTCTAGCAGGTGCTCCCTACGTCTCTCTTTCTTCTCCTTGAAGCTCTCAGTGAACAGCCGGCACTTTCTTGGGTCTCTGGAATCTTCTTGAACACTCTGGTTATATGGACACGTACTGCCATAGCCCCACATGGCAGTTTGTCTTGTAGAGCCCCGTCTCCATCTGTCTTGGTAGTTGTGCCTCCAGGTCTGGCTCAGGTGTGCCCTTTCCCACAAAGCTATTGCCGATTTTCTTCAGTCTATCCTTGGCCTGCTTTTCAGCCTCTTGCTGCCAGCTGCCCAGATCCTTGGGTGGTCCAGGTCCTTTCGGAACTCTGCCTTCCCATGCTGCTACCTTTGTATCAAATGCCCTCACCTGGCACAAGGTTACTCCTCATTCAGGACTCAGGTAAAATGTTGCCTCCTTTAAATCTGCCCAGGTCCCTTAGGCAGCACTAGCTACTCTTAACAGTGTATGAATTTGCACTTCTGTACCAGCATTCAAGGCACTGCTTTGTGGATAATCTATTTATGCAGCTGTTTTTCCTTGTAGAATTCAGTTCCTCAAAGACAGGAGACAATGTCTTATTTGTTTCAGATCCCCAGGGCCTAGCAGGCATCATGCTCTGAAGCCTTGCTCCAAACTGGAGGTGATCTCGAACTTCCATACTGCTTGGGACACCACTCTCTACCTCCTTATGTTGTTGATGCACTTGCCTTGTTTCTCCTGATAGAATATCAGCTCTTGGGAATGGGTTCTGTGCGTGATTTATCTGTATCTCTCACAAGGCTGCCACAATGTTTCTGCACAAAGCAGGTGCTTGAAAATACTTGCCCTGTGAATTTGGAAGCTTACACCTTAGGCAGGAAGGGCAATAGCGTCATCCCGAAAGAGGGCAGACATTGTGTCATGCATCGCTCACTGCCTTGCTCCTTATATCCAGTGAGTTAGGAGCAGAGCTAGGACTGGTTTTGAGCGGTGCTGGCTGGAGCCCCTGGGCTCATGCATACTGAGTCTACTGTTTTCCCCTCTTTGATATTCCCTGTGACTTAGAAAATGAGTTGACACCAGGGCTTTTCCCAGTACCTTGCATCTTGGTCCTATGTCCTGGCTGTCCATATGTCCACTCAGAAGTTGGATTTTGTCTTTTCTTTAAAACCCAAGGACCAGTGTCAAGGGTGGTTTTTATCGATCACTTATTTGTGTTTTTGCTACCTCACGTTACCTTGTAGTCTGTGCTTGCTTAGTCCTGTTGTCCCCCATGGCTCGGTTCCTCTCCAGTTCTTACCAGCACATGCCATCTCTCCCCGCCCTGAGGAATGTGCCCTGCCTGCTACAGCAAAGGACCCTGACTCATTTCTACTTCATCTTCTGGGTTGACCTTCTGCTGGGCATGGATATCAGAGTGTTTTTCCTTTCCAGCTGAAGTGCTTTATATTTGTCCTTATAAGATCATGGCCTGAATTGATGTTGGGATCATTGATGATGGATTGTTGGAAGTGGAGGGTTATGTCATGTTGGTTCACCAAGTTTAACATATATCTTTATTATTATTATTATTATTATTATTATTATTTTATTTTATTTTTTAGCTGAGCCATCCTGCCACCTGTTGGCAGCTCAGCGGCTGCTCAGCTCGGGCTGGGACTCAAACCGCTGTTGCTCAGAGCTCAAACTCTTGAGCGAGCTCTTAACCAACTGAGCCACTCGGCCGGCCCCATATATCTTTATTATAAATTTGAGATGTGGGTCAACATTTTAGGCACACATCATAAAAATCTCTTGTCTTGTTTGCTTGTTTGCTTGTGGAACAAATAATGATTTATCCGTCGTCATCATCGTAGTCGTCGTTGTCGTCCTCGTCGTTGTCGTCATCATCATCATCATCGCTGTCACTTGTGGTGGTCTTACTGTGTGTCAGATGTACAAATTGCTTTACCTGTATCTCAATCTTGAGGTTGGTACTATTGCTGTGCTCATTTTGCAAATGAGGAACTTGAAGCTTGGTAAGGGCAAGTGATTTACCCAAGGACGTGCACAACCAGTAAAGTGGGAGAGCTGGGGTTCAAGCCAGGTCTGCTTGACTCCAAAAGCTGTACATCCATGTAATGCATTTAACCGCTGGGCTCTGTGGACTCCCATGCACACACATGCTTGGGTATTACCTCCTCCTCTGCTGAGAACTTGGGGGTCCTAGTGGGCCTTTGTTCCCACTTGGTTCCCAGTGAGATTCTCCAGTGCCTTTGAACTTGATGCAGTAGTAAATAGCTGCAGCTTATTGAAGGTGTGACTCCTGTCCCCCGCCCCCAGCCTGGAGGCCTCAAATTGAGCAGCCCCTGAAGTGGGGGTGGGGGCAACAAGATGGCTAAGTGGCAGGGCTGGGTCCCTGAATGTTGCTGATAAGGAGAGGTGGTCCTGGGAGTCTTTTTGACCTAGAGAAGAGAGAGGTGGGGCCTCCTGAGAACACTGGATCTGTGACTTCTTCTGGGGATTGTGTCATTTCCCTGCTTAATGACAGGTAATGCTGGGAGCCGAGCTGAGCTGACCTACCCGGGCTGTGAGCAGTAGCAATTTCTAATCACCAGTTAATTGTCCTCATTTGCATTTAGCACGTGTCTGTGTGAAACCTTCTTCTGCTGGACTGTTTTTTCTGGTATATTTGTAGAGGGACCTTATTGTAGCTCCTGATCCGAACTCCAAAGTGGTCCCTGGGCCACTTTCCCTCTCCTCCCAGTTCTTTGTGGCTGGTCACTTACTTGTGGCATGGCAGGGCAGCTGTGCCCCTGCCCTAGGCCTTTGTCTGGGGCCAAGTAGGACGGCCCTGGCAGGGTGAATTAGCAGTCACCGCTTCTCGGCTGATTGGAAACCTGCTGGCAGTGACTAATGTGGAAACCCATTGGTCTAGGAGGAACTGGCTCAGGTCTTGACTTCTACCACTGTTTATTTTTCACCTGACTGAGGGAGTGGTGAGAGGTGCTCCAGGCACAATCCTGCAGTCCTTCCAGCAGGCACTTATTGAGCACCTAGCATGTGCATCGCCCTCTGGGGTTGAAGGAAGAGTATGGGAATGAAGGCCCCCTGGGTTTTACTGTTTAGTCTGGGAGGAAAACTTGGACATATGAAGCCTCGAGGACCAGTGGTTTCAGTGATAACTCAGTCAGGGTCCTTAGAATTTAAAGAAGTTGTTTAGTATTAGCGTCCCACGGCTGCCGTAACCAACTCCACAAACTCAGTGGCTTAAAACAACATACATTTCTGATGTTACGGTCCTGGAGGTCAGAAGTTAGCCTGGGTCCCCAGGGCTGTGTTCCTTCCGGAGGCTCCAGGGGAAATTTGTTTCCTTGTCTTTCCCAGCCTCCTGAGGCTGCCTCCCTCTTGTGCCTTGCGGGCCCTTTCCTCCATCTGCAAAGCCAGCAGCGAAGCATCTTCCAGCCTTTCTCTCTGCCTCTCTCTCCTTTTGTTGTCACGTCAACGTCTCATACCTGCTGCCTCCCTTTTGTAAGGACCCTTGTGATGACATCGGGCCCACCCAGATAATCTAGGATAACTTCCCCATCTCAAGTTCCTTAACCTTGAGCACATCTTCAGAGTCTCTTTGGCCATACAAGGTAAAATATATCCAGGGTTTGCGATACGATTTTCTTGGGCAGGGGGTGGGCGTTATTCAGTCCACGGCAGTACGTGTGTTGAAGGGGTTGGAAGTGGTTGGGGAGGCCTTTCTGAAGGAGGATTTGTGTAGGGAGAGAGGGCCTGGGGCACATTCCAGGTTTGAGGGACAACACGAGGACATGTTGGGGTTCTGGGCTGGTGAGATCAGTGAGCTGTGGGCCATTGGTCATCCCACTGAAACAAGATACCAGGGGCTTTCCTTTCTTCCCAAGGCTAGGCGGAGGGAGTTTTCTGGATTTCAGTTTTTAGGCCCAGACTTCCTCCCGGAATTCAGGTGAGAGGGTTCTGTTGACAAACAAATCCTTTCCGGTCCCAGCAGCTGCAGTCCTGCTTCGAAAACCCAGCCACATTTGGTGGCCTCCCACCCCCCTGTTGTTCTTGGGTGGTGGGAAAATGAATTTGAGCCAGCTGGCCTGGGTTTGGGTGGCCCAGAAACCCTGGTCACACTGTTTGCACAACCTCTGTGACAGTCACGTTGCTCACATGGAGCACAGTCACTCCCCGGGGAGCCTTCCCTTGTCTGTTCTTAGGGTGCTAAGTCCCTCCCCCAGTCTCTGGGGAGGAGAGGGAGGGGCCAGAGTGAGGAAACGGCGTGGGGAAAGGGGCAGAGAGCCAGGCTGCTCAGGGGTCCCCCTGGGGAAAGGTGCCCTCCTGCTGGCGTGACCTGACTCCGCTCTGCCCGCCCTCCACTGGCCAGGAAGTGCTCACGGAGAGAAGGGCCTGAGGTGGGCAGTGGGAACACACAGGCCAGAGCCAGCCTTCTGCTCGGGGCGGAGCTGGGGAGCAGCCTGGCGTGGGGCAGTGCTGAGCTGTGGGCAGGAACGCAGCTGAGTGACTCAGGATCTCAGTTGAGATCTCCGTGGAGGTTCTAGAAAAGGTGGAAAAGTTGTAGCTTTTCTCTGTTGCTTCCTCCTGACTGTGGAATCCCGGGATTGTTCTGGGGAAGGTCAAAGGCTGTCTGGCTGCCGTGGTTTGGAGTGTCTGGGAGGTGTTTGTAGGCGAACGATAAGAGGGCAGTCTGCAGCACCTGAAAGCACTTGGCCTGCGTGCAGGTGCACGGCGAACCCCCATTCTCTTCCCTCCACTTGGGCTGCTGGACTTTGGAGCAGTTAGCTGCCTTTCCTGCCCGCCTCCAAAGCAGGTTGGCGTGTCAGCTTCCACTTCTTGGGTGTGGGGTGAGAGGATGACATCAGCCTCCTCCGCACCTGGACCCAACCTCCCTGAACTGAAATGCTTTCTGGGGGGCCTCCAGAGTGCTGGCCCTCACAGAGGGTTCGCCAGCAAGTGCCCGTTCCCCGTCGCCCACCTTCTCAGCCCACTGGCTGGGGAGGGAGTGCCAGCGGGGAATGGTGCTGAGTCCTGGGAATCCCCGAGGACCAGAGAAGCAGAGGTCCTCCATCTCCAGGAGGTTCCAGGTGAGTGCCCCCGGGAGACTGTGTTTTCCAAAGTTGGTGGGGAGCCATGTCCTATTCCCTCAGTGACAAGAGGCCTGAGGACAGAACATGGGGGCGCTATTTTGGGTTTTGGGTGGTGTCATTTTCTTCTTGGAGGCAGGGGTCAGATTGGGGGCATGGCACCTGAGGCACCATGGCGGGGAGAAGGGTGGGGACTTGGCCCCGTCACCTGTGCTGGGAATCCAGAGGCCTGAAGCCTGCCTGCCTCCCTTCCTGGGGATATTCAGGGAAGGTCCTTGGGAGGCGGGGCCAATAACCTGGCCAGTTGTGAGTGGAGTAACGGTGGGGTTGTATTTAGATTTAGAGAAAGTTTAAAAAAAAACCAAAACCTGATCTTCCTTCCTGTCCTGCCCCAGGGCCCTTAAAAGGTCTGTGTCTGAGCAGTTTCTTGGGTCCATCAAAAAAGAAGATCTGGGACCTCATCGAAGAGGGCTTCACAGGCTTGGGACTTGAGATAGGGAGTTTTCCAGAAGACTGATTTCCTGATTGATGATTGACTGAACTGATTGATGTTAAGAGATGGCAGCGGTCACAGCTGGGGGACACTTAGGGGAACTTGGAGACTTGGTGACACAGGATGGGGTGGGCATGGGGCATCTGGCGTGAGGGACTGGCTGCTGCCTGCCTGTCACCGCTTTCCCTCGGCTTCCACTTCCCCAGCACAGTGTCTTCCAAGATGAGTTTGAAGACCTGAGTTCCAACCTTGGCCTTGGGGTGGATCTTACAACCTGGGGCAATGCTCAGTGGAGAGGAAGGAAAGGTTGGCTCTGCCCTGGGGCATGTGGGCAGCTAGCTACTTTAGCCATCTCTGTGCAAGTCTGAACTACACCCAGCCATGGTTGGGAACAGGCTTTTAGGACCAGAATGCACTCACACCGAGCGTGATGTCTCTTTTTTTGTCATTGTCAAATGGTGTCTACTCACAGTCTGCACCTGGACTGTGCCTTGTTTGCTTTCACTGCCCCATTTGCTCTTCATCCTTTCCTTTCAGGGTCTCGATGTTCTTTTTCAGTCCTCTTGCCCGTGAGAGAGAGCCTTGTGATCCTGGGTCTCCTGGTCACTGCTCAGCGTTTCCCGTCATCTGAGGAATTACAACCTGACCTCGACCTCATGCTTTCCCCTTCTCCATGACCTGTGATCCTTTGACCTGGAATCTGTATTTTAACCATGTTGTTCTCAGAGGACGGTAAATGGCCAGAAGTCACATGGTAGCAGGTCTAGAAATAGCCTTAAGGAATCTTAACACTCAGCCTTTTACCTCCGTGAGCCTTTGTGGAGTAAATGAAGTGTCACCTTAAAACCCCTGATCTTTCAAGTCTTCATGTGCCCCCTAGGGCTTGTGCTGAGGCAAAGCCATGGCATCCAGGGCTGTGACTAATCCTTTGCCTGTGTCCCTGGCTGAACAATGAAATCTATCAGGGAGGCAGGGGCAGGGAGCATGAACACTAGCGCCTGAGTTCAAACCCAGGCTCTGCCACATGCTCCTTCTGTGTCCTCAGTTTCTGCATCTGTAAAATGGGGATGATAATAATAGCACCTATCTCAGAGAGTTGTTTCGAGATAGAAGTGGCTTGTTATGTCCATAGCACTTGGAACATTCTCGCTGTCATGGTTGGTTTTCGTTCCAGGAGGATTTGGGCAGGGGCATTACTTTGAAAATGTGAGCTTGGTTTGCAGGCAGATGGCTATGTTCAATCAGAGAAAGTTCCTCCAAGTGGAAAAGATGCTTTAGTTTCTGAGCTTGAAGTGTGCTTATGTTGCCATGGGGTCCCCACGGAGTGACCTCAGAAGGTACCCTTTAGAGATAAATCTCCCTGACAGTATGTGTGGAATGGCATGGGCTGTGACTAATCCTTTATTTTAAGGCTATGACCTGGCCGGCTGTGAAGTCCATTTGGGACGTGGGGCCTTTTCCATTCAGCATCCCCATAGGGGCTGACTGACCCCTGGTCTGATCTGGGAAAGGTCTTAGGCCGTAAGTCCCCTGCCGCACGGTTCCAGCTGGGACTGACAGGGGCAGGGTGCCTGACTTTGCAACGCGCTTTGAAGGACACCAGAGTCCCACAGGGCTGGGGGTTAACGGATGGGGCAGAGTATGGTCTTTGTCTTTCTTTGTGCTGAAATGACATGTTGTTTTCCTGCCCGCTGGTTCTATAGAAAGGCCTAGCTGGTTAATTTTTTCTTTTTTAAATTTTATTTTATTGGGGAGTTGGGGGAGGGAACAGCGTTGGGGAATCGGGGAAGGGGAACAGACAAGTTGCTGTCCTTTGGTTCTTCAGTCTAGTTGTGGAGGACGTGACTTCACTGACCCATGATGGTATTATTGTGCTCTTCCCAGCTGAGGCAGACCGGTCCCCGGCCATTGGACGGCGGCTCATGGCAGCCCACGCCGGCCGCTCAACGCTGGCTGCCGGCCACTCACAGTAACTTATGGCAGCCCACTGCAGCCCCACTGCAGCCTACGCTGTTGCTAGCGACTCAACTGCAGCCCAGCTCCAGGTCGAGCTATTGTTCACCATCTTAGCTGTAGAGGGCAGTGTCACTGGCCCATGTGGGATCCCAACCGGCAGCCCTGCTGCTCAGAGCTGGTGCTCCCAAGCCAGCTCTTAACCAACGAGCCACTCAGCCTGCCCACCCTAGCTGGTTAATTTTAAAGGCTCTTGAGGAGGGAGGTAAAAGCAGCAATGGTGCATTTCCCAAGGAGCTCTCCTCTGGGATGCTCAGTTTCACCAAGATGAATCTGTTAATTAATCCTCCTTTTGTTGCACCTGAATGGAGGGAATGCAGAACTGGTTCTAGTGCTGACACTGTGTCCTCATCTGCAAAAAAGGAGAGGCTCACATAGGGCACCTCAGGGGTGACCCACTCCCCCCAGCTGAGACACAAAGTGACAAAGTGCTTGAGAGGGTCCTTGCTGGTCTAGTGTAGATGGTCAATAGGTCTCGGTGTTCCTGACTCTTATCTCAGTAGAAGCACCAATTTGTTCATCATTATTCATTTGCCATATCACTTGTTACAGTCTAGGGTACCGAGTCTCAAACTAGTCCCAGTCTCTTGCAGTGAGTGCTAGAGTAGGCGTAACCCTGAGGTGCTAAAAGATTATGCAGATGGTACTGCAGGTTTGGTTTCTGTGGCGGTGTCTAGAGGGAGGGGTGGCTTCTCATCTGAGACCTGAGGGTTGAGTATAAGTGACACAGGTTGGGTGGTGGTATGGCATGAGCTAGATGGGGAGGAAATAATGTCTAGGCAGAGAAAACATTTGCAGAAGCCAGAACCTGGAGGTTGTTGGCATAGGCCTGGGTGCTGGTTTCAGGTTGACAGAGGCACAGAAAATCGGGGCAGATTCACAGCTACTGGAGTGATGGCACCTTCTAGATCCTTCTCCTCGTAGCTCTAGCCTGTGGTCTGGTAGCTTTTGAGCCTTAGAAGTAGGGGTGGAAGGCTTTGGGCCTGGAGCTGGGAGGGATGCTCTGGAACTTTTTTCTTGTGAAAATAGCAATCAAATGGATATTCTGGAAGTGGTGTTGGTGAGCTCTGGTCCTTGGGGTTGGGGGTGCAGTGTCCCTGTCCTTTTCAAAGGCTACAGCCCCTTCCCTGACTTGCTGCTCCAGGTGGGCCTACCTGAGCTGCACCATCTGCTCTGGAAATAAAGGTCACCTGAGGCTGTGTTTGCCTCGCCTGGGAGCAGCTTCCTGCTTGCTCTGCTGTCCTGACTGAGCCATGATGAGGGAAGCTTAGGGACACTCACCTGTGGCTCAGCCCTGGGGAATTTCCTGTGCCCTGGGAGCCCCGGTGAGTCAGGGGCAGTGGGTAATGTGGCCTCAGCCTTTCCTCAGCCTTTGTACCATCTCCTCTGCCTTCCCTGTCAGTATCCGTGAGGTATCAGGTTCATGGTGTAGCCACTGGCACCCCAGAGATTTTGTAACCTTGGGAACAATATTACCTTCTGGCACGTGTGTCCTCTTAGATAATAAGGACCAGATCTTTGCCATCCTTGTCTGGTGTCCCCAGCACAGGCCCTGACAGGTGAGCACCTGGGAGGTGCTTTTTAACAACTACCATTATCATCACCATTTTGATGGTTCCTGGAGCCCTTGCCCCTTGCCAGGCACCAACCTCAGAACCGCGCATGCAGCAGGTTAGGATTCCATCAGAAGGCACCCTGACTTGGGCTCTGGCAGAGATGTCCTCTCTGCTTTTCTGGGGCCTCAGGTTCCTGAGCCCTTCTTGTCCTGGAAGTGGTCCACCTTTCTTCCACCCTGGGAAAGATGAAGGTGGAGCTGTTGGAGTCAGGAGGGAAGGCTACTTGTAGATGCTCCTAGGGTCTGAGGGAGGGGACTTCCTGGGCATTCAGAGTTGTTTTTTAAAATTGTGGTAAAATACACATAAAATTGACATTTTAACCATTTTTAAGTGCGTGGTTCAGTAGCATTAAGTCCATTCACATTGTTTTGCATCTGTCACCACCAGTCCATCCATAGCATTTTTATTATCCTGTAAACCTGAAACCGTACGCGTTGAACAGTAACTCCCCATCCTCCTCCCCCACCTCCTCGTGGCAGCCACCCTTTTACTTTCTGTTTCTGTGAGAACTCCGTTTAACCCTTTGTCTCTCCTGTCCAGAATCTCTTCGGAGTGCTCTCGCCAGGCAGCGATGCCAGGATGCCCGTCTCTGCTTCCCTCCGCCAGGACGGCAGCCAGGAGCGGCCGGTGAGCCTAACCTCCACCGCGTCCTCGTCGGGCTCCTCCCGTGACAGCCGAGGCGCCATGGAGGAGCCCAGCGGCCCCGAGGCCTTAGCCAAGAATGGGGCAGGCTCACCGCGCAGCCGGCACCCCCCCAACAGCAACAACAACTCCAGCAGCTGGCTGAACAAGAAGGGTCCCCTGTCCCCATTCAACAGCCGGGCGGCAGCGGCACCTGTGCACAAGCTCAGCTACCTGGGCCGCGTGGTGTGGGAAATCGTGGAAACTGAGCGCATGTACGTGCAGGACCTGCGGAGCATCGTGGAGGTGAGGCCTGTGGGACTTCAGAGCTGAGGTCCAGAGGGTCCCTGCCCATGTCCTCCCCGGGCTGGCCTGGCTGGCCCATTTCTCTTGCATAAACCTTACTTGCACATCGGAAGGGCAGTTCTCCATGACACCTTTATTTCAGAAGGCCTGCTTCCCATGATGTAGTAGGGAGGCCTCACGTCTCCCACCCTGGGGAAGCCGCTGACTGCTCACTCTACCGTATGACTCTGGGTCAGATCAGTCACTCAGGCCAGCAGAGCTTCCTACAGATAGCCAGGGAGTAGGCCCCCTTGACAAAGAGGGGAGGGACTCCTGTGCTCAGTGGAGATTGAACAAGGTGAAGAAATTGGCCCTGGACCCGGACAGTCTGTTCCCAGATTCTTGCTCTGTTTCCTAGCCATGGGGCCTTGGGCAGGTGAGTAACCTCAGGTTCCTCATCTGTAAAGTGGAGATGCACCTGCCTCGAAGGGCCATGTAGGCGAAGCCTTTCCCACTGTGCAGGGCACACCGGAGAGGGTGACTGTGTCGCTATCACCGAGGAAGCGGCCCGCTGCAGAGGGAGGGGTATTGGTTTCCCAGCGCGGCTGTAACAAATTACCACAAACTGCGGCTTAAGATGCAGAAATTTATTCTGTCTTGATTTAGGAGGCCAGAGTCAGAAATCAAGGTGTTGGCAGGGCTGGTTCCTCTGGAGGCTCTGAGGGAGAATGCGTGCCAGGCCTTTCTCCTGGCTTCTGGTGGCTGCCGGCCATCCTTGGTGCTCCTTAGCTTGGAGCTGCATCACCCCCATCTCTGCCTCGTCTTCATGTGGCCTTCTCTGTGTCTCTCTGTGACCTCTCCTCTAATAAGGACGTCAGTCATTGGATTTAGGGCCCAACTTAAATCCAGTATGGTATCATCTCCAGATCCTAAACTAGTTACATCTGCAAAGACCGTATTTCCAAATAAGGTTACATTCTGAGATTTCAAGTGGATATTAATATTTTAGGGGAACTATCCAACCCAGTATGGTAGGTGATGTCTGTGAAATCGCATCATAGCTGTAAAGTGCAGTACAGAAACAAGGTGTGGCTGTGGGGATAGGATTGTGCCAGGAGGCGCTGGGCTCTGACACGGGTCTCCATGCAGGACTACCTTTTGAAGATCATCGACACGCCTGGGCTGCTGAAACCAGAACAAGTCAGTGCCCTCTTTGGGAACATAGAAAACATCTACGCACTGAACAGGTATGGAGTGGGCCTGACATGCGTCATGTTCCGCCGCCTGCGAACCCCATCTTGGGGCCTAGGGAGGAACCCTGGGTGTCTTTGGTCTTGTGGGCTGTGACAGGATCTCTGAGGGTGGGGAAGGGTGGTCCATCCCTGTACAAAGGTATAGTTAGCTCCCTGAAGGAGAGAGGGCATGTGGGACCATGTGCCTTGGGGCTGATGTGCTTCCTGTCAGGCAGGGAGATCATCTGAGGCCATGTGCACATTGGGTCCGGCCTGGGCCAGCACTGCCACCCCTCCACCCCTAGGGAACTGCTTGACCCTTGCACATGATGCTCTTCCCTCTGTCCCTTTATGACCCCTTTGTCCCTCTCATCTTTGTTCCCCACTTGAACATCTCTTGATTTCTTCTCCATCTTCCTGCTGACCTCATGGAAGGTCAGGGCTCCTGGAGGTGATCTGACCCGTTAGGAGAATGCACTGGCCAGGCGAGACGAGCTGGGGGAGGCTGAGCGAGGCCTGGCGAGGTGCTGCTTCAGGGCAGAGGGGCTCCTTGAGGATCTGGCGGGTGCCACTTGGGCCCACAGAGACCCCAGGGAAAGGGCACTGGTCAGGAGGAGCAGAGCTTGAGAGGATAGTGTTGATAGTTCTGGACCCCTTAAGATGGGCAGATGGAATTCCTGCTGTGTGAGCCGGAGAAGCCTAGGACCGAGGGCTGGACTGGGTGGTGGGGGGTTGGGAAAAGGGGGAGGAAGCAAGGGGAGCACCATTTCCGGGGTTTCCTATAGCACCCCATTCAGAATCCTTTCCCCGCATCCTTCTGAATGGTTCTTGGTTCTTTTTCAAGTCCCCTCTCTCCCTTCTTCCTCCTTTAATCTCTGCTGTTGTGTTTGACTCCTTCTGCCTGCAGAGGAACTAGATCCTCTCCCGAGGTGGGTACTGGTGTCCCCTCCCTCTTTCGCTTGCTGAGCATGTGGGCCTCCTTCTCCCCATCTTTGCAGTGGTGCTGGATGCTTTCTGTGGTTGCTGCCCTGGGCAGGGCTCGCTTGAAGAGTAGAAGGCCCTGACCCTTTGGCATGACACCAGGGCTGATTGTGTATCTGGGTACCAGGAGGTGGGCAGGGGCATGGTGTGTTGGGAGTCGTGTAGGCTGCAAGTGGTCCCAGTCTGATAACCACTCTCCCTCACCCAGCCAGCTCCTCAGAGACCTGGATAGCTGCAATAGTGACCCTGTGGCTGTGGCCAACTGCTTTGTGGAAAGGGTAAGAAGGGCTAGGTCCTTGCCTCTTGTCCAGCTCTTCTGGGGGCTCAGTGGGACATGAACTCCCACCTTCAGAGGACATCTGAGCCCTGGGGGCCCCTCTCCAGGGGAAGTGCCGGGTACCCTGCCTGGAATGGGAAGGGTATTCGTGGGTAGAGCCAGGGGTTGCTGGGTACAAAGATGGACCTGTAGACCCTTGCGGAAAGGGGGGCAGAGTTGCCCTGGGGGCCAGGGGCATGCCCTTGGTTCACCTGGGTTTGTAGTCAAATGGGAATCTCCCTGATATCACTATTTTTGTTTTTTTCTTAGAGCCAAGAGTTTGATATCTACACCCAGTATTGCAACAACTACCCCAAGTGAGTAATTGGGGGTGGAGATGGGAGGCAGAGCTATTTGGTGAGCCTGGAGCACCCCACCTCCCATCTAGACCTTCCCAGGTGATGACGGCCCCTTCCCCACTCCCAGCTCTGTGGCCGCCCTGACGGAGTGCATGAGGGACAAGCAACAGGCCAAGTTCTTACGGGACCGGCAGGAGCAGCTGCAGCACTCGCTGCCCTTGGGCTCCTACCTGCTGAAGCCAGTCCAGCGCATCCTCAAGTATCACCTGCTGCTCCAGGTAACCCACGGGTCGCCTGAGTACATGGTGGGCTGAGGGCGGGGCAGGGCCTTTGAGTCTGGGCTAAGCCCCTGTCTCCCACGCAGGAAATTGCCAAACATTTTGATGAAGAAGAGGACGGCTTCGAGGTAGTGGAGGATGCCATCGACACCATGACCTGCGTGGCCTGGTACATCAACGACATGAAGAGGAGGCATGAACACGCAGTGCGACTCCAGGTGCTCCAGGGCTGGTGGCTGTAGGGATATGCAGAGGCGATGCAGGGCTTGGGAGAGGGCATGTGGCTGCCCTGCTGGGGTGAGCTGAGGGGCGGTGTCCTGTGGGGAGGGTGGCTGCATCTACGGGAGCCTCCTGAGGTCTCCTGCGGTCCTCGGTGTGGTCCTGAGCAGCCTGACCCTGGGGGTTGGGGCTTCTCTGCTGCAGGAGATTCAGTCGCTGCTCATCAACTGGAAGGGGCCAGACCTGACCATCTACGGGGAGCTGGTCCTGGAGGGCACGTTCCGTGTGCACCGTGTGCGCAGTGAGAAGACCTTCTTCCTCTTTGACAAAGCGCTGCTCATCACCAAGAAGCGGGGCGACCACTTTGTGTACAAGGGTCACATCCCGGTAACCAGGCTGCACCCTTCCCTCCTTGCCCTCTTCCTCAGGCCCCGGGTTGGTGTGGACGAAGCTCCTTCCTTCTTGCCATCACTCTCCCTGCCTCCGCAGGCGGCCCCCGGGGCCGAGGCCCCAGGTCAGCTGCCCCTCCCCTCACTGTGCTTGACTGCCCTCTCCCTCTGCCCCAGTGCTCCTCCCTGATGCTGATCGAAAGTACCAGAGACTCCCTGTGCTTCACCGTCACCCACTACAAGCACAGCAAACAGCAGTACAGCATCCAGGTGAGGAGTGCGCCGGGGCACTCAGGCTGGGGCCGGACCTGCTGCACCTGCTTGCTCAGCTGTGCTGAGCCTCAGGGCCTCCCTCCGGAAGGTGGGCACCTCTCAGGCTTGGTTTGATGAGTCATGGTGACTGCACGGAGGCCCTTTTTGCACCCCTACCCTGCTCGCCAGAAGCAAGGCTCCTGCCACATGGCTCCAGGCCTGTGATAAGCCCTGGCTCCTTCTCCCTTGGGTCCTCCCAGGCCAAAACAGTGGAGGAGAAACGAAACTGGACTCACCACATCAAGAGGCTCATCCTGGAGAACCACCACACCACCATCCCCCAGAAGGTGAATTCCGGGGGCACCCCCACCCCCAGCTGCTGATGGGGTGCAGGGAGAGAGGGTGTCCTTCAGAGCCAGCTGTGGGGGTTCACCGGGGCCTCACCCTCTGGATGTTGGCTCCACTGGACAGTGGGGGTCGTCAGTTCAGCGGAGGCCACAGGCCTCCGCACGGCACTGTGGGGTGTCCCGGATCAGCAAGAGTGAGTCCGTGGGCTGAGGGAGACATCGCACATGGTCAGGTAGTAACTAGGTGGGTTTCCCTTTTTTCCAGGCCAAGGAAGCCATCTTGGAAATGGATTCTTATTGTAAGTGTACGCTTTCTGCCCGCTTTGTCCCTAATTGTGCACGTCTCTAGGTCAGGCTGCACCCTGGGGAAGCTTTGCTTGACACTTACATTCCAGGGAGCAGGGAGGATGGGGCAGCTCCTTTTTAGTCAAGGCCTGGGGGTCTGTTGTGAGACTAGGGGCGTGATACTGCTGACCTAGGCACTCTGGGTGCCTGGCGCTCCCAGATGGGGAAGGGAGGAGCTTTGGACGCTTCTGGCCCCTGGAGTTGGGGTGGGCAGCAGAGGTGGGGTTGGGTATGATCAGAGTCTAGGTCCAGACTGATAGTATCCCAAAGGTCTGATTTTTTTTTCTCCTGGGTGCAGATCCCAATCGGTACCGCTACAGCCCAGAGCGCCTGAAGAAGGCTTGGTCCTCCCAGGACGAGATGTCCACCCACATGCACCAGGGGCGCCGGCAATCTGGTAAGGGAAGGGCTGTGTGGGCAGAGAGGCCTCTTCATAGGACCTTGACCAGGTGGGGGACCGTTTGCAGCAGCATCGGGGCTCTCAGCTCTCTGGAAACCCTAAGAATGAGCAGGATGGGGGTGTGGGGGACATCCTCTCTGCGTGCTGCCCTCCGCCAGGCGTCTCTGGGCCCCTCTTGCCCACCAGGGTTTGGCAGCCCACCTTCTCCAGGGCCCTAAGAATGCTTGATCACTCAGGCCTGGGTACCCCTTTTTAGCTCCTCTGCGACTGAAACCTCCCTTTTTCACCACTTGGAATACTGGGAGTCAGCCAGGAGTAACGCTCGGTCCGTCATGCATGGGCCCCAGCCCAGCTGTGGAACAGCAGAGGCAGGACGTGGGGAAAACAAGTTAGCCTTCAAGTGGCACCAAATCCAGACAGGAATTATTTACTTTGGGTCTCAGGGAAAGTTCCATTTTCCTCTCCTGGGTTTTCTTCCATGACAGGGCTTGCTGCTATGTACTTGGAGTTATTGGAGTGAATCGTCTATTGAAAAAGAGAAGACCTTGCTTTTATGCTTAGCTCTCGTCGTGATGAATGTCTGTTTTCTGCATCTGTTTTCACTCTGCTCTTTAGTCTGAGGCACAGGGACAGATTTGGCTTCAGCTGGCTAGCTGCCAAACTTGTTCATGAGGTGGGAGTTGGGGTGAGAAGTGTCTTAGAGACCTCTGGGGAGAAAGATTTGGCAGTGACTGGGAGCAGTGACCCATGGGTCCCTTTAACAACTGTGTGGGTTGATGTAGGGGCTTTGGTATTAGAAGATGTCTAGAAAAATTTTATGGTTTTGTTTGGCATTGCTCCCAGTGGATCTTGAACCCTAGGCAAACTTGTCATGGTTGAAAAAGTTCATGGTGCTATATGTTAACAGCCCCAAATTGGCGGTGTTACTTCCTAAGCCTCTGGCCCTCTCTGTTTCCTTTCTATAATTCCTTTCCTGCCCCTCTAGCATTCCCTGTTAACTGGCCATAGCTTTAAATTGAAAGCTTTTGGCACACGGATGTGTTCAGTAAGGGATGGTGGTGGTGGTGGTAGTAATAGTAATACTACGTTGTCCCTCAGCATCCAAACTGTAGCTATCAAGGCACTCAGGAAATGAGCCATTTCAGAGCTTAGGTTTCCACATGGCTGAGATTTTAGCCTGGAAACTGTAATAAAAGAGTTGGGTTTTGCTTATGTGCTTGTTTTTGTGTTTTAGTTTTAACCATTATGAAAGAGACATCTAAAACATGCTTCGTATTCTTGACCCTTTAAAATAGAGGATGATGCCGACCACTTTTGAACTTTTCTGGAGTCGGTACAACGGCATCACTGTGGTGTTTGAACTGCTAGATTCTCCAGGGCCCCAGGATGCTGGGCGGGGACTGTAGGTTGCCATAGAGACAGCCCGCATTTGAGGTGTGTCCATCTTTACACTGAAGAGTGTTCGTTCTCATCCGTCTTAGCGTGCTTGCCCGTGGTATCCCTTCTTCCCCCTTCTGCCTGTTAGAAATCAGTTGATTAGACTTGTGAGAAGTGTGGATGGAAGCAGGCCAGGAAGTCGCTGAGAGGGCGGGTATGCGCCCTGGGCAAGCACTTTAGTGCCTGCTCCCAGCTAGCTTCTCTGACTGTCTTTGGGCCTTTTCTCCTTTCTACTTCCAGAGGGCTGAGATGGGCAGATCTATATACACTGTATGGATAAGTAAGATGCTACTGTCATTATTTGACATGTGTTTTAAAATGAAAGAGTTGAGCGTTTTATATTTCTCGCTTTAAAAACAATTGGATGTTTACTTATATTGTCCAGATTGTGTGTATGCATCTCAGTAGTAAAAAAGCTCTTCGATATGCTCCCCCGCCTAGGAAGTAGCTATGAGAGCTCTGAGGGCTTTGCTTCCGGCTCCAAGTTTAGAGTGGGCCTCCCACTTAACGCCAGCTAGGCAAGGACAGTATGGGCTAAGGCCAAGGCTTGGTAGAGAGGTCCCTTGACACATGTCCTCTTATCCCTGCCTGCCTGTCTCGGGTCTGTCCCCAGAAAGGCTGGGGCTCAAGGTGGTGACACCATCAACCTAATGGATGTGTTTTGTATCTTGTCCCCAGAGCCTGGTCAGCCCCCGTACAGCCGGGCAACACTCCCCAGCAGGCAGCGAGGCTTCCTGGTACCAGGCCTTAAGGGCCGTAGAAAGTCCGGTGCGACCTCTGCTTTCCAGCTGGGGTGCTTTGAGGGGGCTTGGCCTGGGCTGTAGCTATGTGCTGATATGCTCGTTGCGGAGAGGGTGGGGCTTGAGGTGGAGCCAGGGACCTCCAGAAATGAGACTAGCTGGTCTGAAGCGGGCAGCGAGGGGCTGTGGCTCCACAACGGAGGGCTGTGGGCGAGGTGCGCTAATGCGGGGATTGTGGGTAACCCTGCTCCTGGGGGCTGATGAGAGTGGCCCAGGCCCTGCCTCCCTATGGGGTAGGTGTGGGGGCAGCCTCCTTCAGCCCCTAGGGCTGCAGGGGAGCCAAGCCCAAGTGGACTTTGAGCTGGTGATGGACTGGTGGTTGCTGTGGGTGTGGTGTGGGAGCAGGGCTGGGCACAGCTGTTTCCAGGCCTGCACTGACGTCCATTTGCTTTCCTCCTCAGAACCAACCAGACACCTGCTCAGGCAACTCAGCGAGAAAGGTGAGTGTGAGGGATGGACAGCCACTCCCACTGAGCTTTAGGGCAGGGGCAGGAAGGTGACGCACGGATGGAGGTGTCGAGGGCAGTTTAGAGGGGACTCTGTCTCTATTCTTTCCAGGAAGTGGGCCCCACCCCTTGCTGTCTAGGGAGGGGGCTTTAGCTCTGCCCTCCACACACACCCCTTTTACCCTCTCCTTGGGTAACAGCAGGAACAAGTGACATGCACAGACGTGCACAGCTTTGCACCCCCCAGGCTCCTGTTCTGTCAGTCATTCCTTTGAAAGCCCAGGAGACCGGGTGAGGGTTCTGGGAGTAGGAGCCCCCAGAGAGGTCTTCCCCAGGGCCCTCCACCTTCGTCCTGCTTACCCACCTCCCCTGCCCTCCTCTCCCCTTCGCCCATGTGCTGGAACCCTGTGGTGGTGGCAGCAGCCAGAGCAGCAGGAATGAAGGTAAGTCTAGCGGGCTGAGCAGACTGGATGGACAGAGGTGGGGGGGACGACCCAGGTCAGCCCCCAGCCCCTTCAGCGCTCATTATCTTCATTCATTCACCAAATACTGCTCAAGCACCTCCTGTGCACCAGGCCCTGTCATGAGGGTCACAGAGGAATAAGCTGTGGCCCTCCCCCTGAGGACCCTTCTTTCTATACCCTTTTCTTGGGATGGCACCCTGGTGGTGGCCTGCCCAGCCTGGATCCTCTCATTTTTCCCTCTCTCTGGGGCAGGCAGGCCTTTCTGGGTCTTAAGTTCCTGACCAGGCCCCAGTCCTACCGAGCTTCCCTAGGTCCCCGCATCCCACCTTGAGAACCACGTGTCNCCCCCGCCCATCCCAGTGGAGATGGGGGATGGCATCTAGATATGGCTTTCTGTGTAAAGCCTCCTCACCCCCAACCACTGGCAGGAGGAGGGGCGGGTGCCCAGAGGCTGGTCACGAGGGGGTGTTGTGCTCCGAACAGCATGCGGGCAGTGCTGGCGCTCTCTTGGACTTTGGGCAACCCCCCCGTACGCGGGGCTTGCAGCTGGAGGCTGAAGGGGCTGCCCGGGAGGAGCAGGAGCAGGAGGAGGAGGAGGAGGAGGAGGAGGAGCAGGCCTTTCAGGTCTCTCTAGAGGACCTGGCGGGGCATGAAGGCAGCGAGAAGGGGTCTGGGCCTGATCCCCCAGGCTCGGAGGACGAGGAGGAGGAGAGCCTGGCAGTGGCGGAGCAGGTAGCCGACTTTGCCAGCTCCCTGCTGGCCGCCCTCCACTGCTGGCACTATCGGGCCAACGCTTTACTTTTCTCCCGGGGCGCTATGGTGAGGTGTATCTTTGATTTCCCCTCCTCCTTGCATGCTCCCTGGCACGTGCATGCCCATCTGAGAGGTCCCCCCTCCCCCCTCCCCACCCCTCCATCCTTGTTCCTTTACTCCTGCCATCAGCACTTCTTAACCCCTCACTCACTGTCATGCCCTGGTGAGCCCCTGGCATGCGCTGTTTTCCAGTACTGGGTGCTAACTAGTATACTACCCAATGAGCATGACTAATGGAGGGGTGGGTGCAGTGGAGATGGGGAGAAGCCAGCACAGAGCAGGGCTGGAAGGGGCACGGGGGTGGGGCTTTTCTGAGGCCGCATGCCTGGCAGGGATTTCTGAACTGCCTAGACCTGGCAGTTAGGTTGACTCTGGATTGGCTCGTGTCCAAGGCTGGCTCTCAGCAAAGCCCAGCCCCCTGAGGGCTCAGGAGGTGCTGCCTGGGTTGGGATGCAAGAGGGATCAGCTCCCAGGAGCTGACGACTGACTGCCCTTTGCTTGCTGCAGGGGAAGGGGCGCAGGGAGTCTGAAAACCCCAAGAGCTGCAGGAGGCCCGGCAGCCAGTCTCCAAGTAGTGCAGAGAAGCGCATGAGCTTCGAGTCCATCTCTTCCCTGCCAGAGGTGAGTGGCTGCAGGTGGAAGGGGCCTAGTGCAGTGGTCCCTGGAGCCCAGATCTCCAAGTCTGCGGGCAGGGCTTTCAGACCATCCTGTTGGGCCCATGGAGACAAGGATTACCCCCCCCCCCCCCAGGCCCCACCTAAGACTCTTGTCCCTTCAGGAAAGCCTGTCTGGCCTATGGGTGCATGGCTTGGTGAGCAGACAGCCCCTTTCTATGAATTAGAAAAAGGTGCCCCTTCCTTTGAGCAGATTAGTCCCTTGCCAAGTGCCACAGTTAGCGGAAGTGACCAGATTTTAGGTCCTCTCTGTTAGGACCTGCCCCTGCCGGCATCCCAGGTATTTATTTTATTTTAATTTTTATTTTTTTTAGATTTTTATTGGGGAATTTGGGGATGGGAACTGCGCTGGGAAATTAGGGGAAGGGGAACAGACAAGTTGCTGTCCTTTTGTTCTTCAGTCTAGTTGTGGAGGACGTTGCTTCACTGGCCCAAGTTGGCATCATCATTGCACTCTTCCCGGGTGAGGCAGATCAGTCGCCGGCTTCTGGACGGCTGCTCACTGTGGCTGCTGGCCGCTCACGCTGGCTGCTGGCTATACACGGTAGCCCGTGGCAACCCACTGCAGCAGGGGCTGCAGCCTACGCCGTCACCGGCGACTCACGGCAGCCCAGCTCCAGGTTGAGCTGTTGTTCAGCATCTTAGCTGTAGAGGGCAGTGTCACTGGCCCTCATATGTGGGATCCGAACTGGGGCCCTCTGGCGTCCCAAGCCAGCTCTTAACCAGTGCGCCACTCGGCCGGCCCCCCAGGTATTTAAATCACACCTGTGCCTACCCGGACAAAAGGGTAGGGTAGTGATGTCTTGTGGACATCTACGTGTCTGATGTTTATTTCTTCCTTCTATCCTCTGCAACAGCTCTACCAGGGAGAAAGAGTCTCATAGAGGTTGAGTGACATGCCTGACATTGGGTAGTTTCTGAGGGGCAGAGCTGAGATCAGACTTGGGTCTGTGACTCAGAAGCCCATGGTCGTCTTCCTGACACCCACACTGTCTTGTGGGTTGTCTGGAAATGGAGTCCTTTGCTTTCCCAGTGTTACAAGACACAGCTCATGAGGCCTAGACCCCAGGGTGGGCCTCACAGCCAGAACAAGACAGAAACTTGGAGGGCATTGGATAAGAGTCTAGAGTGGTGCTGGCCGATGATAATAGAATGTGAGCCACATGGGTAATTTTAAATTTCCAGTAACCACGTTAAAAAATTATTTAACCCAGTATATTCAAACTATTATTTCAACATATAACCCATATAGAAAGCTATGAAGAGATGCTTTATGCTTTTTTCGTATGAAGTTTTTGCAGTCTGTATTTCACCCTTAACAGCTGTTCTCAATTTGGACTAGCCACATTTCACAGGCCTGGGAGCCATGTGGGGCTGGTGGCTACTCAGGTGCACAGTGCAGGCCTAGAGCATAGGTCCTGCTCTGCAGATTCTGGACTAGAACAGTCGGAATCAGGTCTGATTCCTCGGAATGTAGAGTGTTTGCTTATCTTCTCCCTAAAGACCTCTCTGGAAAGCTGCCTATACCGGCCAGTTTTGTGGTTCAAATGACCTTCAAGGAGGTCAAGAGGGAGTGCTTACGTTTGCTCCCTTCCTTGCCTGTCTGCTGGGCGTATGCAGAGTCGTGCACAGGGATCATATCCCTCTCTCACCCTCTGACAGGATTCCGGCCTGTGGTCCTGTTGCCCTCTGGACCCTGAGCCACATAGGATGCCCTGGTTCCACAGAGAAGTTAGAGTGACCTCTCATGTTGCTCAAGCCTGAGTCTGAACCCAGAACAACCCCCATGTTGGAAGCCTCTAGGGCTTTAGGAAGCTGCTTTATCATTGGGCAGGGAGTGCTGGTGCCATGGCTCTGACCCTGTGTGGTATGTTCCCATCTGTCCCTATAGCTCCTAAGTAGGCTGCCACAGACAGGTGCCACCGCTCTTCCCCATCTATGTTCCTAGAATTTTCCTTGAGTTTGAAAACATGGGCTCAGCACCCCAGCTGTAGGGTCACTAAAGGATAGCATCACATCCTTCTCCTTAAGGACCCGTTGCCCCTTCAGTCGTAAACTGCAGCCCCCTCTCACAGGGCTTTGAGGAGGCCGTGCTGTCCCCTCATCCCCTGGGTCTCACACGGGCTCTCTGTGCTGTCCCAGGTTGAGCCAGACCTTGAGCCTGGGGCAGAGCAGGAGGTGTTTGCCGCCGTGGAGGTTCCTAGCACTGAGGAGATGCCCTCAGACTCAGAGTCTCCAGGTGTCCTGGGGACACAGCTTGCTGCCAACCAGGAGCTGCTGGGACTGGACCACCCGAGTGACATGGACTTCGTGGTGGCTGAGAGCACTGAGAACATTAAAGCCCTGAGCAGTGAGGAGGAGGAGGAGGAGGAGGAGGAGGAGGAGGAGGAGGAGGAGGAAATGGGGGCTGCCCAGGAACCCGAGAGCCTTCTGCCGCCCTCTGTGCTGGACCAGGCCAGCGTTATTGCTGAGCGGTTCGTCAGCAGCTTCTCTCGGCGGAGCAGCCTGGCACTGGAGGACGGCAGGTCCACCGGCTTCGGGACCCCAAGGCTGGCCAGCCGGAGCAGCAGTGTGCTCAGCCTAGAGGGCAGCGAGAAGGGCCCGGTCCAGCGTGGCAGCACCACAGACTCCTTCAGCTCTCAGCTCGCCCCAGAAGAGGACCTCTGTGTGGAGATGGCCCCAGAGAGTGGCCCTTCCGTCAACGGGACAGAGCCCCCAAGCCCAGGCTTTCCAGCGGAGCCTGACGGGTCTTCCTGCAAGAAGAAGGAATCGATGCTCTCTACCCAAGACCGGCTGTTGTTGGACAAAATCAAGAGCTACTATGAAAACGCAGAGCACCACGATGCCGGCTTTAGCATCCGGCGCCGGGAGAGCCTTTCTTATATCCCCAAGGGCCTGGTGAGAAACTCGGTTTCCAGGTTCAACAGCCTTCCCAGGCCGGACCCGGAGCCAGTGGCTCCGCTAGGGCACAAGAGACAGGTGGGCTCCCGGCCAGCTTCATGGGCCCTGTTTGACCTCCCAGGACCAGGCCAGGTGGCTGCTGGGGACCCAGCTCCTGTCACAGATGCTGAGTTCCGCCCATCTTCGGAAATTGTGAAGATCTGGGAGGGGATGGAGGCTTCTGGGGGGAGCCCTCGGAAGGGGCCAGGCCAAGGTCAGGCCAATGGCTTTGACCTCCATGAGCCACTCTTCATCCTGGAGGAGCACGAGCTGGGGGCCATCAGCGAGGAGTCAGCCACTGCCTCGCCAGAGAACGCCTCCCCCACGGAGCGGCCCAGCGCAGCCCGCCTGGCCCGGGAGCTGAAGGAGCTGGTGAAGGAGCTGAGCAGCGGCTCCCAGGGAGAGCTGGTGGCTCCACTGCACCCCCGCATTGTGCAGCTCTCCCACATGATGGACAGCCATGTGAGCGAGCGAGTGAAGAACAAGGTCTACCAGCTGGCCCGCCAGTACAGCCTCCGGATCAAGAGCAAGGCGGTGACAGCCAGGCCACCATTGCAGTGGGAAAAGACAGCTTCCACCATTCCCCGCCTGCAGGAGGAGGCTGGAGCACAATCGGGCGGCAAAGGTACGACGGGGGTGGGGAGTGGGCCCCCCCTGCAGGCCTGGCGCAGACGAGCCTTTTAGGAGCCACTTGGCTTTTGGGGGAAAGGGACCCTTAAAGAACCTCTACTAAAGAGAGGGCTCAACCCCAAACCAAAGCCCTAGCAGCTGGGCTAATGCCTCGAGACCACTCGTGCAGCCCTGGTTGAGCCCTTTCGCTGCCCTCCTCCAGTGTTTCCTGTGCAGCAGAGAGAGACCTTGGGGGCAAATGTGGCCATGCGCCCCCCTCCCCCCCTTTTCCAGGAGAGCAGAAGATCTTGTCTTTCTTCTTTTGACTCTTGACCCCTTGACCACCGTTGGCTGGCCACTGCCTTTTCTTTATTCTTTCCATTTCCCTTTGATAAAGGGGCCATAGATGGTCAATGAGAGGTCTTTTCCATTATCCACCAAAATTTCACCAACCAGCCTTGCCTGGGAAGTGAGATGAAGGCGGTTCAGAGCCCTCACTTCCTCTCCTCCTGCCCAGTGATTCAGGCAGCTCTCTCTCCCCTCACAGGTAAGAGAAAGCCAGTGCTGTCCCTCTTCAACCATGAGCAGATGCTGGCCCAGGAGCACAGCCCGCCCAAGCCCTGCTCTGCCGGGGAGACGTCACCACGGCGTTTCTCCTTCAGCTCCTCTGCTGCCAACTCAAGGACCACCTCACCTGGGGCCCGGGCCTCTGCTCGAAGCCCCCTCAGCCCCTTCGACACTGAGACCTTCAACTGGCCTGATGTCCGAGAGCTGTGCTCCAAATATGCCTCCCACGACGAGGCGGTCCAGGCTGAGGGCAGCCGGCCCCGAGGTGTGCCTGTCAACAGGAGCCGCTCGGTGCCAGAAAACATGATGGAGCCCCCTCTGTTGGGCAGGGTGGGCCGCTGCTGCAGCCTGAATGCCAAGAGGGGCCGGGTGGACCCAGAGGCCACCCAGCCCCAGCCTCCTGGAGTGTTGCCCCAAAGTGGGTCAGACGCAGAGGAGGCCCTGTACGTCACTGCAGACCTCACGCTGGAGAACAACCAGCGGGTAATTGTCATGGAGAAGGGGCCCCTGCCTACCCCTGCTGTGGGGCTGGAAGAGCGCAGCGGGCAGGGACCGAGCTCACTAGCAGCCACAGTGGGGCAGGACCAGGACTTGCAGATGTCTGCAGAGTATCGGCCAAATGAAGACGGTCCCAGGGAGCCAGTGGACCCGAGCCAGCAAGGCAGAGTGAGAAACCTGAGGGAGAAATTCCAGGCCTTGAACTCCATAGGTTGACTCTGAGTCCTGGGGTGTGGAGGAGCTGGGGGATGGGGAGGAACTTTGGCATGCTTGCCTACAAACCTGGGCTCACCTTGCTCACAGGAGTCCCACCCAGGGCCCTCAGGTCGTGCCCTGGAAAGATGCTCTGGTGTACTCAGCAAGTGCATTCTGTGAACACGCTGGCACGCCCCCATGCTCACGGCGACTTTCCACAGGCCCAGACGAGCCCCTCTTCCCTCTGAGGCCAGTGTGGCCACTTCCCTTGTGTATATTAATAGTTCTTCTCTGGTAAGAAGCCAATATTTAAGCTCACCTCTTCCCAGGGAGAGCAAGCCCTGCTCAGGCCTCCAGCACTGGCCGGCCACTGCCGGACTGAGGAGCCCAGCCAGAGGAGACACGGAAAGGTGGCCTGGGGAGGTTTTGCTCTTTAACTGTGCCTTTTCTTAGGATCCAGGCAGGAACGAGGTCCCATAATTTATTGCTTTCCATTCTGTTGTGTGTTTGTGTGCACGCGTGTGTGTCCTTCTGTTGTTGATTCCCCTCCCGTGAAGAATGTAACGGACTCAGTTCAGGTACTTTTGTGGGTTGTCTTGCTGACCCTGTGGTTGTCGCTAATGTATACACATTTCATTATTTGCCAATGGTGCAATAACCACTGCTGACCAACTGACTTGTGTGTGGCCTCCTTACTGGGGGTAGGGAGAGTTGATTATGGCCAGGGGTGTCAAGGGGGCGGACCGCTAGGGTTGTACCTTCCAGGTTCACTCATTCGTTCACTCATTGGCTGACTGTTCGTGAAGCACAAGGAACCAGGATGTTTGTGAGGGAGGGTGGGGTTGGAGGATGTGCGGGAAGGGACTTGTTTTCTTGCGAGTCTGCTTCCATGGACTTCTCTATCTACAGCATCCTGTCTTGGGGGCAGGGACATCATGCCAGCCTTTCGCTCTTTTTCTCAAGGGCCAGCGTTGGACTAAAAGAAGTGTGTATGGGGGGAGGGGGACACGGTGAATGGAACATTTTTCTAATAGGAGTTCCCAATGTCTGGTGCCTTTTACTCTTCTCTCCCTCTGTCATTCCCAGGAGACATCCTGGGAGGTGAGGATTCTAAACTTGAAGCCTAGAAATGTCTTAAGGTGGCTTGCAACTGGGTGAAGAGTACAAGTACATTTTTTCTGGGGTGGATCCTAAGTTTTCATCCCATTCTCAAAAGTATCTGATTCAAAAGGGCTAAGAAATGTCTCATTAGTTCTAGTTGGGTTTTCTGCCCTTTCTCCAGGGTGGACTAACTTTGTTTTGCCCTGTTTCTTCTGGCTTGGGCCTGGGACTAGTGGGGCTGCAGGGCCCAGGTAGGTGGTAGAACTGTCCTCAAGTGTTCCCACAGGTCTGCTGGTTCAGGGCCATGAGCGTCTTCTGACCCAGGAGGATGGGCTGGACCTGAAGATGGGTACGCGGAGTCTATTGAGGTCAAGGGGAGATCAGAGGCAAGTGGATCCCCTCCTGGGCAGAAGCAGACAGGGCAGAGCTGGCCTGTGTTCTGTCAGCTGCCCTGAATGTCCTGTGGCCACTTCCACAATCAGAGGAAAGAGCTGGCTTCTACCAGGCAGGTCTCGGGCTATGATGCGGAGTAGCCATCAACGTGCTGGAGTGAGTCAGGAGACTCAGGCGTTGGTCCCAGCCCTGCCATTAACTAGCTGGGTCACCTAAACTCTTACTTTTTCCTCTTCTGTCAATTGAAGGAGGTGGATGATTTGCTGTGTCTCCAACTCTGACTCAGATTCATCAGCGGGTGGGGCCTGGGAAGTTGTAGCAAATACTTTCCCCAGGTGATCCTTACACAACCATCTAAGTATGTCTGGGAACCTTGGACCCGCTCAGTGCTTCTTACTGGCTTCCCCTTAGAATTATCACCGGACCTTTTGAGAAATGGCTATGCCAGTATTCCATCCACCCAGACCAAACGCAACGTCCCCTTTGGGGATGAACCCCAGGCCTGGCGATTCTGGTGATGCGATGTCCAGCCCACACCTGTCCCGAGCTCAGGAAAGGCCTGCCGCAGGCCCCCAGGAAAGCTTTTCTTGGTCTCAGGTGAGGCAGGCACAGGACCTGCGTGCTGGTTCTCAGGGATAAGTCAGAGGGCCTGGCTGTCCCTCTGTCTCCATGGTGGTCTTGTGGACACGGCTCCCTCCTTGCTCACTCAACTAGCACTCCTTGGCCCAGTTCAAAGGGAAACAAGCCTTGTCAAATAAGAAACGGAGAGAAATACGGAGCGTTATTGGTTTATTAGAAAAACTAGTAAATGGGTTTCCTTCATTTGGTGGAAGCACGTTGGAGCAGGTGGAGGACAGGGCCCAGCTGGGCCAGATCGCATGGTCTGTGCTCAACAGGGTTGCAGTCCTCTGCAGCCCCCTCCTCCCTTGTGTCCTCCCTGAGCTTGCTTGTTCAAGAGACGGAGCCATGTGGTCCTCTGGACCTCTGCCCCCTCCCGCTGAAGGGAGGAGGGGGACCTGGGACCAGCCACGGGGACCCCAGTTGCCCTCTGATAGGCAGGAAAGAAGAGTGGTGTGGTGGGGAGTGGAGCCCTCCACAGGCCTCCGGTTACGGGTGCTGGTGGGGGAGGGAAGCCCGAGAAGCCTCCGTACCCCGCTCAGCCGGTCAGGTGAGGCCGGGGGAAGGTGAGGGAAGGAGGCCTGCCTGGCTGTGTCCCGGAGCTTCCTCTAAACGGCCCTGGGAGGAAGCCTGTTATGCTGGTGTGGACTGGAGCTGTGTCAACCTACTTTGGGAGTACTGTTAAAGACTGCAGAGTAGAAAATGTAAGGAAGAAAAAAAAAGAAACCTTGCCAGGGCCCCAGGGACTTAGCCCCCATGTGGCACAGGCTCCCAAAGCTGGGCACCTGCAATTTCAGTTCAGTTGATGGAGGGTCTTGGGTCCTGTGTGATATGGGAGGGACGCGTGAGAAAGTGACAGTAGATGGAGGGTCACATGCAGCTTGCTGCCCTTGACCAGTCCGGGGGACCTGGGTGGTAAAGTCCTAGCGCTTCCTTTGGGGCCCTTTCATTCTTGGGACTATGGAGTAGCTTGTTGGAGATTCCTACTCAGGCGCTACTTTGGCACACATGGAGGGGAGAGGGTGGCCCCTGGTCCCTGGCCTCCTTCAAGACTGGCCCAGGGAAGCAGTGGAGAGACTCGGGCCACCACCTGCTCTTCAGCAAGGAGCACGCTCTCTGCCCTGGAGCAGGACATATCCTCAGGTGCACCAGAGACCTTTATTGCCAGGTGAGTCTAGTCATCTCATTGCCTGCTGCCTTGGCTTCCCCAGGTGTCGAAAGAGACTGGTGAATGTTCTATACTAGGCTCCCTATAGGTGCAAAGAGGGCCATGGGGTTAGGTGTACCGAGGCCGAATGAAGACCCTGGCTACAGAGCTGAGACCACCTGATTTGGAGATGTCAGGTGCCATCAGAGAACTTGCCTCCTGTGGTTCCTATCTGCTGAATTCAACTTCACCCTGACATAGCGCTCTTGATCACCGAGACGTGCCTACACTAAGGGCTCCTGAGAAGGTCTAGTAACTCTCCCTCCCGCTGTGGTTTCTGCCTGAGCCTCATCCACTTCTGGAGGAATCATCTCAGTGTAAGTCTCCTTCCCATGGGGAAGGTGATGGAAATAGCAGCTGCAGGCCCCAGGGACCTTTATAGTCTCCCCAGGAGAAATGCCTACTGCTCCCAACTTGAACCGCCCTCTGGACCTATCCCCGGTTAAGATGCCGGGCGGCAGCTGTATTGCTTTCAAAGAGTGGCAGAAAAAATCCTTGTGGAACAAATGCTCTCTTCCCCGTAGAAGTCTGACCTTAGCATGGGGAAGGCTAGCCCTGCAGATCTAGGTAGCAGGGCCCCTTTGGCTGTGCTTGGGGATGGGGCTAGACATTCGGTGACTCCTGCACCCATGTGGCTTCTCCAAGACCAGAACCTTCAGGAGAAGCTGAGCAAGGGGTGGCACACCATTGTTCTGGCCTCAGCATTTGTCCCAGTTGTCCAGGGGTTGTGTGATGTGGGTGGTAATACCCAGGTGTGGCTTGCTTTGTCACCCCGGGGTGATAGGTCATGCACTTGGCTGTCTGTCCAGGCAATACCCTCAGATGGTACCAGCTGCAGACAATACACGTTGGGCATTTGGCTTTGGGATGCTTTACTCCAGGTGCTGGGCTGTCCATCTTGTATCTGGGGACTGGGCTGTCTCGTTAAGGGGTCCTGGGTCTGAGTCGGATATTGCTGGTTCAGCTGCTCCTGGGGGAGGGGGAGTGTCCCAGAGTGGCGAGGCAGCGCCTTAGGCAGTGTCAGGACCCCACTACCTCCTTCAGGTCTAAGCCCTGAGCGCTAAGCTCTAAGTTCAGTTTTAAAAGGAACGGCTGGAGAGCTTGCTCCTTCTCCCTTCTATCACTGATGGTGGTAGCGAAGGGTGCTGGAAGGACCAGGAGGTCCCTTGCACTAAGGACCCACTGACCTCGGAGGGTGCCCCCTTTTTTTTGGTGGAAGAAGGAGGGATGTGGCAGCCCCTGAGGCGAGAGTCCCAGTGCTGAGGAAGCCCAGTGAGGAGCCCATAATGTCCCCTCAGTCCCCTGCAGCCCTTTTCCTAGACCCAGGGCCCTGTGGGCCTACCTGAAGGCTGCTTCCTCCTGCCCCAGGAGTGGGCCAGGCATTTCCAGTGTCCTTTTCCCTTTCCCTATCCCTGGCTGCAACCAAGGGGGAAATGACCCCAAGCAAGACTTGCTGTGGGAGTGGACAGCATCTGAGGACCCCCATCAGCCTTCTCCAGCTTTTATGGAGCTTGGGGGGCTGGTGTGTCCTCAGCCCAGGAGGGGAGAGGAGGGCGTGTGCCTTGGAAAACCATTTCCTGCCCCCAGGCCTGGAGGCCCCAGGGCCTGGGTGGAACTAGGAGCCCCTGTGTCCCTGGAGTCGCTCTGTGGAGGGTGGGGAGCAGACATCGGCCGGGTGGGCGAAGGCAGCGATTGCAGTGCAGCGTGGGCCCCGGAGCCTGGCCCCGGCAACTCGGAGCAGGCAGGCAGCAGGCAGCGGGCAGCCGGGCGGCAGGCGGGAGGAGGACCGGGCGGCAGCCGAGGTCAAGGCCACGGGCACCCCAGCCTGTCCCGGGCAGCTGAGGGAGGCACTGCGGCACCCACAGCCCGGCTCCACCTGTGGGGCACTGTGAGAGGCTACTTCTTTTTGGGGAAGAAGCTGAATCTCTTCTCCTTGTCTTTTTTGCCGAGGTTGGCATCAGGGCCGGTGATGGAGGGCAGGGGCAGGCTCTGGGCCTTGACGCGGATGCTCTGGGACTCGTTGATGGCGGTACTCACACCCTGCAGCCAGGACAGCATCTCCTCCTGCAGGGCAGGAGGGTCAGAGCCCCACACCTCCCAGGGCCCCGCAAAGGATGGGGTGCGGTACCCTAGGACTGCCTTGAGGTCAAATGGCTTGGGTTCTCCTTCACCTGCCCCTTTGTTAGCAGAGGTCTGGGCTAGGCTGCCCTGCACTTACCTCATCCTTGCCATGGAAGAGCCACTCACTGCCATTGCTCAACCTAGGAGGACAAAGGGTTTCCTGCCATGTGGCCACCTTTGGAGCCCTCTATCTAGGGCAGAGGGCTGGCTCTGACCCCACAGAACCTTCTGAGAGGTAAAAACCCAGACCATCCGCCTCTTTGATTTGAAAACCCCCTGAGGGGCAACTCAGGCATGGAGCTGGTCCCATATGGTGGGCCCCTGTCCAGCCACTATTGCCAAATGAAGCCACCAGGAAAGGGGCAGTGCACAGGAGGAGCCTCACCTCAGCTTGAAGACATGCTTCTTCTTCTTGTAGTTGGCAGCAACCTCACAAATGGCATGTCTCAGGGCCAGGGGTTCCTCCCCATGGTAGGGCACCCCCAGGGCCAGGTTCTTGGCATCTTTGTAGAAGGTCAGCTCACTATTCCTGAGCACACAGTACAGGTTGTTCCAGGACCTGTGAAGATGCAGACAGGTAGGTCGCCCATAGTCCCGTTACAGCATCTCTATAATCAATTCCTATAGCTATACCTTTTTTTTATTACATCATTTTTGTCTTGATAAATAGTAATACATTTTACTGTAAGAAAAAAGGAAATAAAAATCATCTCCACATAATCCTACCACCAAAAGTTAACTGGTTAACATTTTATGTATTTCTAGTCTTTTTTCTTTCACATATATAGCTGAAATTAGATTATACAGTATATCCAATTTTATGTTCTGCTTTTAAGCTTAACACTATTATGAGTATTTCCCCACATCCTCAAATATTTCTTGAAAGTAATTTTGAATAGCTATATGTCCTCTCATCATGTATATAAATAATCCCTTTATTGGTGGACCTTGTGATACTGGAAATTTATATAGTACAGTTTAAATAACGACATGGTAAACATTCTTGTGCATAAATCTTTGACTACAACTCTTTTACCTTGAGATACATTTGTAGAAGTAGAATTATTGAGTCTAAGACAAACTGTAAACTTTTCAAAGCATTTCCACATCCATTAGCATATTTGATTCTCACTATAGAACTGTGAAGGGACTAGAGCAGGGTTTTGTTTTGGTGGTTGCTGTTATTTTTTGTTTTGTTGATACTATATGCCCAGTATACTGTACTAGCACTTTTTTTTTTTTTTTAAGATTTTATTGGGGGAATTGGGGGAAGGGGAACAGACAAGTTGCTGTCCTTTGTTCTTCAGTCTACTTGTGGAGGACGTTGCTTCACTGGACCATGTTGGTATTATCATTGCCTTCTTCCCCTGGTGAGGCAGTCGCTCGTCGGCCATTGGACGGCTGCTCACGAAAGCGCACGCCCGCTGCCAGCCAGCCCCACTGCAGCCTACGTCGACGCTGGTGACTCATGGCAGCCCAGCTCCAGGTTGAGCTATTGTTCATCATCTTAGCTGTAGAGGGCGCAGTGTCACTTTCCCTCATGTGGGATCCGAACCGGGGCCCTGCTACTCAGCAGGCGTTCCAACCCAACTCTTTACCAATGCGCCACTCGGCCGGCCTTGTACTAGTACTTTTTAAAGAAACATATTTGTGCAAATGAAGGCTCATATGAACTGTTATGTTTGTTGACAACGGGCTTATAAGCTAAAGTGTGGGCTAACCTGGGCTCCTTCATTGACAAATGGGAAACATTGCATTTTCACAGTAACGAAAGCAGAGAAACATTAAGCTTTTCTTCCTTCTTCCTCTTTCTTCCTTCTCCCTCCCTCCCTTTGGAGGGCAGGAAGGTAGAGGACTACTAGGGCACATAGGGAGGAAGGACTGGAAGGTCAGAGAGAGAATGTGACCCGCACAGAGCTGGCTGCAGAGCCGTTTTACAAGCCCAGCTTTCTGGCGCCCAGCTTGGAGCGCTTTCCTCTAGCCCTCACCGCCTTCTTTGAGCTTATAGCAAGTAAGGCAGCTGCTAAGGAGGAGCTGGGTCTTGGAGTAAAATCCTGCCTTGAGCAAATGACTTAACCTCTCTGAGACTGTTTCCCTGTCTGGAAAATGGAAACCTCATTACAGGGTAGTTGTGAAGCTTTTATCAGTCCTAATATAATGCCTGGCACATAGTAGGTGCTCAAAAAATGCTAGTTTCCTCTTTCTTGGTAGACTTTCCATATAAACCATAAACCTCTTCAGGGCAATGGGTGCCCCCAAATACATCTTTGGAATTTGAATTAGCTTTGGCGTGGGCCCTGGAAAGGCTCTGTATGCTGCCAGTTGGCTCTGGGAACATGGCTGACTTCAACCTCTTGATGCTGCCCTATTTCCCTGGACCCCTGGATGCTGCCTGAAGGCAGAGGCCTCCAGGGACCTTGGGTAGCAGCATCCTTGGGTGGACCAAACCCACAGACATGACTGCCTTGAGGTCAGGAAAGGACACAACCTTTGAATTCCTTAAGGGCACAGTCATTTTATGACAGCACGGGGAGGGACCTCCAGAAGCACCTATGTAAACCCCACTCTTCTTCCTCTCCTATTTCACAGCTGGGAAAACTGAGGCCCAGATTGGTTAAAATGTGGGACTTGTTCTTAGTGCCAAGATTCACCTACCTGTTGTTACCCAGCCCTGGGATAAGAACAACAATAGTGTTCTCTGAGTTCCTGCTCTGTGCCAGGCATGGTACCTCTACCAGAGGCATGCTATCATCATCATCATCCCCATTTTACAAATGGGGAAACTAACGTAGGCTGAGTCACTTGTACAAGATCATAGGAAGTGAACTTGGGACCAGAAGGAAGCTATGTTTTCCCCATCATGCCAAGTAGCCCCTGGGCTGGCCCAGAGGTGTGCCCAGGAGCTCTCCAGACCAGAGGCAGAGGGCGCCCTCTCCAACACATTCCCACGTTGCCGAGGCCCCGTTGGTGAAATCCCTGGGAGCCCCTTCCCCACACACCTGTTGGATGCCTTCTTGTTGGGCCCCTCCAGGTCGTGCTTGCGGCCCAGGTAGCCCTCCATCTGCACGCTGTGCCCGAGGTCCTGCTGGGCCGGCAGCGTTGTAGGCTCATCACCATCGCTCAGAGGTGTGTCCAGTGCCTTAAAGAGAGGCTCAGTGGCAGGCCTCTCATCCACGCAGGATTTCTCCTCCTGTTCTTCCTCATGCGTCCCCGGCGGGGGTGGCGGCTGCAGGTCCTGAGGCCGCTGTCTGTCTTCTTCCCCCTGCTCAGGGGCACATGGGAGGAGCACAACTTGCTGGGGGTTCTGCCCCAGGGATAGCTCCTCGGCAGAGCTGGGAGGCCAGCAGGCCCCCAGCTGGCCTGCTTCACTAGACCATCCACATCTCTGGCTCCATTGCCGCCCCCCACCCCTCGCCCCCTGCAATCTAACAGCAACAGGTTCTTAGAGGGAGCTGAAGGGGCTGAGTGATCATCCCATCAGGGGGGAGGTTCCAATGCTGCGGGCAAAACCTCATCTGTGCCCGGCTCCAGGTCCCTTCCCCTGCTTCGGCCACATTCTCCAAATCCAGCTGAGTTCTAGGTGGGCTCTGGCAAGATTTCCTATGAAGAAAGGGGTCTGCTGCTAAGACAGGTTTGAAAAACACTAGTACTAGCCCGGATGTTGACTGGAAACGCTTCTGTTACCTTCCACTTGTGTCTAAAGCCTCAAAGCTAAGGGCACCGAGCCCTATGTCTCCCACACCACTCCCAGGCTGACGGATCCTGCTCCCATCACTTAGTGGGGGTTTGTTGAAGTAGGACAGTGGTTCCTAAGCCTGGTTGTCTTTTACAAAAACCTCGGGGGGCTTTAACAAAATATGCCCTGACCCAACCCTCAAGATGCTGCGTTAACTGGCCTGGAGTGGGGTTAGCACTTTGGTATTTAATAAGCTTTTCACGCACTCAATGGGGTTGACAATCACCTGTAAGGAGTCACTGCCCTGGGGGAGAGGCTGTGGCTGCACCACCCTGAACCCCACCCAAGCTGAGTGAGGGGCCTGCAGTGGAACCACACGCTGTATGTCAGGTGCTGTATGTCAGGTACTCAGGATGAGAGAAAGCAGGCCTCCCATTCCCCAGCTGGGTACCTCCTTATGCACAGGGCTTGCTGATCTGCCCTTGTGCCTGCTGCAGCGAAGAGAAGAGGGCAGGGCTGATTGCGGCAGCAGGGCACAGCCAGCCTCCCACTGTCAGGGGGAGCAAGGACGGGTAGGTCTCCTATGTGCCAAGTGAGCACCACGGAAGGCAGTCTAGCTTGAACCTTACGGCCAGAGCCCTATCTCAAAGGCCTGACATGCTGGAGACCTTACAGCATTAGGTGGGAAGGGTCCTGCAGGTCCCTCCGCAGGCCATGTCTGGATGCCTGATGTACCAAGATCAAGGGCATTGCCAGCTGAGGAGGACCAGAGCCACCCCGGAGAGTAGAGACTGCCCCCTTTTTCTGCTCCCTACTCCAACCACTGAAGATGGAGGGGAGCCCAGAAGAGTGTTAGGGAGGAGCCAGGAAAGAACAGACCCCATGCTCCCCATTGTGGGTCCTTTAGACATGGATCAAACCCAAAATAAAGGAACGGTGGATGATGGGAGGATGTAGGCACCATATTGGACATCAGATTGAAGCTTTAAACTGAAACACACTGGGTAGACTTTTTAACAGCTAAATTCACCAAAGTTTGCCTGAGACAGCAGTAAGGAAAGGGAAGAAAGGCTCCATGGAGATGTTGGAAGATAGTGCTTGGAAGACAGGTAGAGCTGGTCATGTTTGTAGCCTATCAAATTAGGACTGTTCAATAAACAGTTATAAGTTGGGGTTCCAGGAAGACCTCATTTAAAGAAAGGATTATATGACTGGAAAAGTTTGAAAACCACTATCCTAGTCTAATACCTTCAATCTATGAGAAAAACCTATGCTTAAGTCAAGTGACTCATCCAAGACCACACAGCTTATAGGTATTGAAGGCAGTTAAGAGCATGCACTCCAGAATTGGACAGGCCTGAGTTTTTATCTCAGGGCTTTATGCCTTTAGGGCTCTCATCCTTTCCTGTCTTAGAATCCCTTGAGACCTGTGGTCAGGCCACACTCATCTTCATGCATCTTGCTGTATTTGTAGCTCCAAGAGTCTGCAACGAGCAGGCATTGGCCACAAGGATCTGGGGGTCCAAAGACATGCCTGGCTTATCCTCTAGCAGGGAGCAAGGGCGGGAGTGGCAGGGAGGGGCAAGGAGCCTGAGTTGGGGGTCCTGTGGACCCAATCAGGCCAACCCTCTGACCTGGGTATAAAGGTTAGGGAGGTGGGTTACTGCAGAAAGCGAAGCCTCTTTTCATTCCTTACCTTGCCAGCTGGCTGCGCTGCTCCTCTTGGTGTGGGCCACAGCCTTCCCCGCCTGCCCTGCGGTCTCAGGGAAGACACCCTAGCATTCACTGGGGAGGAAGCCTGGGGGACCCTCACGGCCACGTTTGCATCTCTCACCCAGCCTCTACCCGCCTGGGACTGGTCTTGCTAAAGACCTATCGGTTCACATTTTCTTCCTGTCTTTTCACTTCCATTCTCCTTCCTTTCTGGAACTGTCCTCTGAAAATAAAGATGGATTTTTCCAGGACTGCCTCCCCTTTCTTCGGCTTCCTCCTAGTGGGTGCCTGACCCACACTCCCTGGCAGGACGTTCAGAGGCCATGGCCAGTGTGATCGAAAGTTAAATGGTTGGTTCATTGACTGGCTTAGGAAAATGGGGATTTTCCTGTGTGTACAAAGGTTTCTTCTGTGTTCTTGACTATTCCCATGGAGACAATTTAAAGCACAACATGTTCCCTTTACCCTGAAGGCCAACACCTGAGGAGACAGCAAGAGTGAGGGTAGGAGGTGGAGGTGTTTTGCGGCTGCTGCCCTCTCCGGGCCCGGGCCTGGCAGGGCGTCTCTTCTCCCTGGGCTGGGGGAAGGGACGCGGATGAGAAAGATGGGGCACGGTTTAGGCAGAAGGGCCCTCCTTTCCTAGACCCCAGGGGTGAATATGCTTTGTGACATAAGAGAGAGCTGGGGATGGAAGGGGGGAAGGGGACAGTTCTGCGGCTGCCCCTGGAACCATGCCCTTCTCCGAGATAGGGATTCTGCCCTGCCCAGCGGCAGGGGAATCTGAGGACAGCACAGCCCCTAAAGCGGGTGCTGGCTACTCATGTGGCTGTAGAGACAGGCAGGTTTGCCGAAAAGCCCTGGATAGATGAGATGGCCTAAGATTCTCTTCTATCCGTTCTGCAAGGCCGAGAGGCCTGCTGCTTTGGCTCTCAGGTCACTCGGAAGATGCAGATGACACCCACACGGCTGAGGGCTACCTAGCCGAGAGATCACCCAGAGGAGCTGGGGGACACTGAAGGAAGGAGGACCAGCTGTTTGGAGGAAATTCTGGGCATCAGGCTAGGATGGTCGGGAAGCCTTATACCATAAGTGGCAGTGACAGCGTGAGGGAGAATGGCCCAGGGTGGGAGGCTGGAATAAGGGGAGGTGCTGCCTGCAGCACGGAGCCAAGTTCTCTGGTTTGGGGGACAGATGGGCAGGGGTGGGGGAGACCTCTGAGAAGAGCGCATGTGCACTGATTGCTGGGAGCATGTCAGAGGGCAGGGGACAGGTGGTACTGGCTGCTTGTTGGGAGGAAAAGGCGCAGACAGGAGAGCCTTTTATAGGATTGTAGTCACACGGAGAGGCCCCAGCTCCTGAAGGGTGGGGGCCGGCCACCTCAGAGTCTGTAGTTGTAGGCCTGACTTTTTAGGGTCCTGCCTTGCTGAGAAGCTGGCTTGGGCTGGGGTAGCAGGCAGAGGGTTGAGGGTCTCCTCCACAAAGAAGGTTCAAGAAGGGGAGGGGAAATGGGGCAGGATGGGTGGGTGCATTTCTCTGGACTAAAGGAATCGAAGGTGTACTTCCAGGCCCAGCCTGAAGGTGGCGGAGGGAATAGCACACAGACGACTAACGCTTGCTTCAGCTCCCAGAAGAAACCCTGGTGGAGGGACCCCAGGGTCTTTTGGAGGTTCTACAAGATGCTCGGTGAACCCAGATACACTAACAAGAAAAGAAACACAAGTGAGAGGGCTTCTCTGTAAAGGAAATGCTGATAAGAACAAGGGTGTAAGGGGCCGGCCGAGTGGCACGATGGTTAAGAACTGGCTTGGGATGCCAGAGGGCCCCGGTTCGGATCCCACATATGAGGGCCAGTGACACTGCCCTCCACAGCTAAGATGCTGAACAACAGCTCAACTTGGAGCTGGGTTGCCGTGAGTCGCTGGCGACGGTGTAGGCTGCAGCCCCTGTGGCAGTGGGTTGCCATGGGCTACCGTGTGTAGCCAAGCAGCCAGCGTGAGCAGCCAGCAGCTGCAGTGAGCTGCCGTCCAGAAGCCGGCGACTGATCTGCCTCGCGACTGATCTGCCTCGCCCGGAAGAGCGCAATGATGGTGCCAACTTGGGCCAGTGAAGCAACATCCTCCACAACTAGACTGAAGAGCAAAACGACAGCAACTTGTCTGTTCCCCTTCCCCCAATTCCCCAGCGCTGTTCCCATCCCCCAATTCCCCAATAAAAATCTTTAAAAAAAAAAAAAAAAAAAAAAAGAACAAGGGCGTAAGGATGCACTCCAGAAAGACCGCTCCACCTTAGCCATGCGATGGTCTTGCCCATCTATGGGGCGGGGCCCAGAGTGTGTGTGCAGGGACACTCAAAGGGGGGGCACTTCAAGAAGGTTGGCTTGGGAGGGCTTAGGCAAGGGATGCTAGAGTTCACATGGAGGGCGTTTCTTTTAAAGAGATGAAAGTGTTCATGAAGGATGGAGAAAAAATAAAGGGGAAAATGGAGACTTAAGTAATCATCTACTAGATGCCAGATATTTTACTACATTCTCTCTTCCAATCCTCACACCCTCTCTGAGAGGCAAGTGTCATCACTATCCCGATTTTACAGATGACGCAAACCGGGGGTCAGGGAGAATGAGTAACTCACCCACAGTCACACATTAGTGAGTGGAAGGTTGGTCCCCAACTCTGTGCTCTTCCTGCTAAATTCTGCTGCAAGTGTTGGTACTATTGCTCCAGAGGAAAGTACCTATCTGATGGGGGTTGCGGTCTAAATGGGACGAACTCAGCTTATGTGAGACACGTGGCTAATCGGCTGAGGCAGCGTGATCATGTCAGAGCCACACTGAAGGGTCCAGGAGAGGGGCTTGGAGCCACACGAGACCTGATGCT